CTATTAAGAGCCGCTGGAGAGGGTCCAAAGAGCCATATGTGGCTCTGGAGCCGCAGGTTGCAGACCCCTGCTCTATATGCACATATGTTTTAAACATGTTCTGTTTTTGCTCTCATGGCACTTGATGTACTGTGGTTCTTATCTACAACCTGTCAGTAATTCAATCAGGTTTTGGGATGCAACCTTGTGAATTCTGACAATTTAATCAATAAAAAGACCTTTGATAAAAGGTTGTCAGAGTTGAGTCCAAAGTAAAAACTTTTTAATAAATATTCAGTGATGTCTTCCAGCTTCAACTACTTCCATTCAATTCAGCTGTGGAGCAGAGGAACAGGTCCTCCTCTTTACCAGATTTATCTTTGATTTTATTAATTGTTTATTAATCAGCTGATTTTTACCAGTTTTGATAATTTTTTCTGAGCTTCTCCTTGAATAAGGCGTATCGATTGAAGGTTGAGCAGAAACTTTCCCTCCTTAGATTCCTAATGAGCAGCCTGGGCGTGTTGGAAGACAAAGTAGGTCAGGGTTCTGAAAATGTTTGGATGGGTCAGACTCATCTCTCCCTCTCTCTCTCCTCCATTTGAGTCTGAGCAGATGGAGAAAAATGTTATTAGTTTGGATCAGAGGAGGAAAACTATGATCATGGCAGCGTGAAGAAGACATCAGGGAGGAGGTAAAAAATCTCAACTCATTTTTGAGTCTTACTCGACTTCGAACAGAAACAAGACAAATTCTGCTCAGATCACAGCAGTTTGTTGCTGAATTAGCTACGCACAGCAGACAAGTAAGAGATGAAAGACGGTGGATCAGTCTCTTTAGTTTGTATTAGTAAGGGTTTTGTTGAGAACTGAAGCAGAACTTTGGAGCAGATGGTGTAATCATTTCTGAAGCAGCAGGATGAACCCAAACTGGACCAACAGTCAGAGCTTCACCCTGAGCTGAGACGGATTAAAGAACCTGCAGCTGTTTTACAGCAGCATCTAGTGGCTGCTGCTAGAACTGCTATTTCCGGCACTAGGCATGGCTGACCCATCATCTTCCAAGAACAAGCCCTACTCCTGGCTAGTAATGGCCATCATCATCACCAGCCTGCTTCTTCTGGACCTTCTCCTGGTTCAGCAAAGTCCTGCTCCAAAGATGACAGGTGTGTGCATCTCGGTGGTGGTGGGTGATGTGAGTTTTTTCGTCATCCTTCGGTACCTGGCGATCTGGGTTGGGACAGAGGTCCATAGTGCCAAGCGAGGCTACGCCATGATCCTCTGGTTCTTCTATATTTTTGTCCTGGAGTTGAAGGTTTACTTTGTCTACCAGAGCTTCAGGTCTCAGGATTTGGATGCTGAGTTGGGTTCAGATGGATCAAGGAGATCTCTGACGCTGCTGTTGTGTATTAGCTTACCCCTAATGTTTGTAACACTAGCAGCTGTCGATCAGTTGGATTTTTTACAGCAGTATAACAAAAGGGAGGAGATGAGGAGCCGTTTGTTCTGGGTGGTGCTGGACCTCCTGGATGTCGTGGATGTTCAGGCCGATCTGTGGGAGCTTCAGAGGGAACGTCTCCCTCTCTGGATGGAAGGCGTGATGTTCTTCTACTCCTACATGATCCTATTGGTGCTGCCATGTGTCTCCCTGGGAGAGATCAGCATGCAGGGTGTGCACATCGCCCCCCACAGGATGATGCTTTACCACGTCGTCAGCCTCATCTCCATCAACGTCATCACCCTGCTGATACGCGGCGGGAACCTGCTGCTGTACAGCCACATGTCTGGGATAATGGTGGGGAAGAACGGGATCACCATCCTTCTGAAGAGCTTCAGTTTGGTGGAGTTCAGGAAACACCAGCTCGCTCCTCCTACAATTGATCAAGGCAGTGAACTGAGGCAGGATGTTATTGGAGAAGTTCAGGGAACCAGCAGGCGGCAGATGGTAGTTCCTAGAGTGGTGATCGAGGATTTTACAACAATACCTGAGGAGGATGAAGAGGAGGGTGGGACCAAACAGGGAGAAGACAATCAGAGAAATCCAGCAGTGGATCAACAACCTGAAGCTTCTACTGATGTCCTGATCCCTTTAAATCTCAGTTTACTGAGAGTGGACTGAAGCGCAGAGAAGGATTAACTGTCATTTCTTTCTGTTAACTGGAAAGACTGATAATCTTCATGTTCTCCACCTGGATCCAGCAAGCTTCCAAATAAACTTCCTATATGTGGCTGTATAACTTATGGACATGACGTGTAATAGAACTGAGCCGGTTCAGGTGTTTATAATCTTTTTCTTAGAGTCCTTTTAATTTGTCCATATGTAGGTTTGGGGATAAAGCCTGACTCCTCACTGGTCTGCAGCTCCACAGGTCATATTCGTTCCCTTTGCTCAGATTCTCTCTTCCAGAAGAGTCACATTGGAGAGATCTCCTGCTTGAAGACCATGCATGCCACAAGGACCAGACCCCAAAGACAACTAAAAGCTAAGTGGACATGGTGGCTAATCTCAGCACCAGATTCTACAAAACAGACAGATCTGCAACAATTCTCTTTGAGTTTGCAGGAATAACTTGGAGATGGCAGAGACCAGAAGAATGAAGCATCCGAATAGATGGGCTATCCAACTAACTTACTGTTCCTAATCTTAAAAACCAAACCTGGCTAAAGGATTCTTACCCTTAAATATTCCCTCATGAGCAATCAAAAAAGCTCTTGAATAGACAATGGGTATTTATTTCTGATTCAGGCAAATAATTTAATGAAGTATTATTTTACCAAATTTTATGTACCTCTTGAATTTGTATTGCAAATTGGTTTGAACACATTTGAATTGCGTTAAATTAATCTAAAAGCTAATTTCGCCTCATTTTAAACTCTCCAAGACAAACTAAAAGGGAGGTTTTTCTCTCCACTGTTGCTACAAGCATGCTTGGTGTGAGGGATTGCTTTCGAGTAAATGAGTCGATGCAATCAGCTGGTTTTCCTTAGACTGAGAACTTTGAACCAATTTGACTGGATGATCTGCTTGAGTTGTCTCTGTAAAGTAGTGTGAGATGAAATGTTTGGTGAATTGTCATTATATAAATAAACTCAATTGAAAGTGAAATGATATGCAGACTGTTCTATATGGAGGATAAAAAGTGCCAAAATTAAATAAATAAATACGGCATTAAATAAATAATTAAAAGTGTCAATAATTAATTAAATGTGGAATTAAATAGATAAATGTGTCATTCATTAATTAAAACCAAGTCAATAATATAAAGTGCCACAATTAAATAAAAAAAATACAGCGATAAACAATTAATTAAATGTGTAATTCATTAAATAAATAAGGAATTAAATATATAAATGTGTTATTAATTTAATAAAATATGT